AGACTATAATCTTTTGACCATAAAAAAAAAAAAAAAAAAAATAGAAAGAAAAAATGACTAACAGGTATATTTGTAAAAATGTTAGCCTTAATTGACAGAACAAAATATATTATACAGAAGATTACGAGAACCAGACATCAATCAATGTGACACTCTAACCACCAAAGCAAATTTAACTTAGTAAAGTGGTTTTAGTTTATAGATATGGGGTGGGCAATGTTCGGCACTCCAGATGTTTTGGACTATATCTCTGATGATGCTTGGCCAGTATTATGGCTCCAAGAGCATTGTAGTAAATGTAGTCCACAACATCTGGAGTGACCAAGGTTGCCTACCCATGATATAGATCATGCCCCTAAAGTCTAACTTCTTCATTCTCTGCATTTAAGGAGTTAAATGATTTTCATTGCACAGCTCTAGACACACATTCCCTGGCTGTGAGTCACACAGTCCAACTACACACTTCCTGAAAAAGAATCAAACATGTTTTAACTTCCCTTGTTGCACAGTGTGTTTACTTTAGAAGTTATCCTTGCTTTTCTTCCCGGCTAGGGCCTGCAGCAGCCTCTTGTGTATGATTAAAGTTAAATTAACAAGCCAGGAGATAAGAACGTAAACAGCAAAAACACATTGCGTTTTAAAAATGAAACCTTTTTTTTTTTTATGGAGTCACTGTCAGGAGAGGTGTGGTTACTGATCATAAATAAAGTCATTTAAAATTCCACTTAACTTTTTGGGGCTTAGAATCCCCTATTGGACCAAACAAAAAAATAAGTTTTGACTTACCTGAGATCCAGCACTGGGTGAAAATCTAGGAGACAATCTCCCTCCATCTGAGATCAGCAGGGGCCTTGCGCAGTTCAATTACAGGATTCTCAGAGATTAATTGATACTTTGCAGTCCAGAACCGAATTCCCAACTGCCAAAGTCACATGTGCCAGAATGTAACTAGCCCCTGGCACACAAGTGCAAATATCTCTGCATGCGCAGGGCTTCAAGCTGAAACGCTGAACATACAAACACCTACCACCATGATCACTTGAAATCACTGAAATGATCATGGTGGTTGGAGTAGCCCTTTAAATTCTAAATGGCAGAGAATTGAATAGTGACACTGCAGCACAACTAATTAAATTTACCTTTTTAATAATAAATGCCCAATCTGGCTAAAAACAGCGACCGGGTACCCGCTGCCATCTTTTGCGGCCCCAACCCGCGCGGCAAATCACCGGGGGCCGAACTTCAAGGGGTGCATTGGGTGGACCATGCTGTCAGGGCCACCCGATGGATTGTCAGGGGACCTAGTCAGCGCTGGGCACTTTAACAGCGCAACCGGACCCCCTGTGATGACATCACTGCTGGGAGGAAGTGACTACAGAGAGCACGCACGGGAGGAAGAACAGGGAGTCAGAGTGGGAACTGTCTGTGTATGTGTGTGTCTATATGTCTGTGTGTGTGCTTGTCTGTTTGTATGTATGTATGTGCTTATGTATGTGTGTCGTGTGTGTGTCTGTCTGTCTGTGTCTGTCTGTGTGCCTGTATGTGTGTGTGTCTGTCTGTATGTGTACCTGTCTGTTTGTATGTATGTGTCTGTGTGTGTGCCTGTCTGTGTGTGTGTGTCTGTCTGTATGTATATATGTGTGTCTGTCTGTGTGTCTGTATGTATCTCTCTGTATGTGTGTGTCTCTATGTATGTATGTGTGTGTGTGTGTGTGTGTGTCTGTGGGGGTGGGGGACCCACGGATCAGTTTCGCACAAGTTTCGCACCAGGGCCCCATGGATTGTGTGTACGCCACTGCTTGCATGGTTATTAAAAATTATATCTGCAAATGATGTTGTGAAGGTGGAATGTAACTGTTTACCATGATATGTGTTGCAAATATCACTCAATAAAAACGATAAATGGAAAAAAAAAAATTATTAAGTTGTTGGAATGTGCTATACACTGATCAGCCACAACATTAAAAGTGAATAACATTGATTATATTGTTACAATAGCACCTGTCAAGCGGTGGGATATGTTAGATAGCAAGTGAACAACAGTTCTTGAAAAGATCTGAGTGACTTTGACATGGACTAAATAGAAATGGCTAGATGACTGAGTCAGAGCAAGTTTTATTCCTGGGTTTTGGTCACACAGAAGAGCTACTGTAGCTTATATTGCTGAAAAACAGAATGCTGGCCATGATAAGAAGGTGTCAAAGCACACGGTGCATTAAAGTTTGCTGTGTATGGGGTTGCATAACTGCAGATCAGTCAGAGTGCCAAAAATCACCCCTGTTCACCATCGGAAGTGTCTCCAATGGAAACCTGAGCATCAGAACTGGACCATAGAGCAGTGGATGAAGGTTGCCTGGTATGATGAATCACGGTTAATTTTATATCAGGTGGATGGTCAGGTGCATCGTTTACCTATGGAAGCATAATGCATTATGGGAAGATGGAAGCAGACAGAGGCGGTGTTATGCTCTGGCTAATGTTCTACTGAGAAACATTGGGTCCAGCCATGCATGTGGATGTTACTTTGACATGGACATCCTTCATAGAGAGTGTTGCAGACCACGTACACTTAATCATAACAATAGTTTAACCTGATAGCAGTGGCCTGTTTCAGCAGGATAATGCACCCTGCTACACTTTAAACATTGTTAAGGAATGGTTTAAGGAACATGACAAAGTTTCAGTCATGTGGGTTGTGCTGAAACAACAAATCTGATTCATGGAGGTCCCACCTCACAATTTGCAGCACTTAAAAAATCTGTTTTTAATGACTTGATGCCAGATACTACAGAACACATTGTATCCAGGCCTCAACGCATCAGAGCTCTTTTGGCAGCACAAGGGAGACCTCAGTGATATTAGGCTGGTGGTTTTAATGTGGTGGCTGATCAGTGTATGTGATTATGTGCCCTTAAAGAAACACTCCAGACCCCTGAAACAGTTCAGCTTGCTGAAGTGTTTTCTCTTTCTTTTATTTTACAAAAAGTGCAGAGTTTTATAAATTAACCGTGTTACATCCCCCTGACTATCAATCAGATAACTGGTCCTGATACTTTGTTTGAGTGGAGCAAAACTGAAGAGGCAGCAATTACTTAGAGCACCTGTTTTGCAAAGACTTCTTCTTGAGTTGCATTTGGAAGTCTGTGATTGGACAGACACAAAATGTCTAGGCTGGGGAAGAATGGAAAGGCTTGCAAAGGCAGCAGACATGAGAACTGCAGCTTTTGTGAGCAATTTTAGATATACCCTCATGTTTTTATTGGATCTATATTCACTAAACAGTATTATTATTATTTTATTTTTTGGGGGGGGGCGGGCAGTTGAGTGTTTTTCAGCATATTACAATACAGTAGATATTTTAAATTCAGTACAAGCTGTGTGGTCTATTGGCTTGTACAAATGTCTGCTTTTTGTTTTGGCTGAGTTGGCCAAGAATATCTGTCATAAAAAACTCTTGTATATTTTAATTTCAGAGTGTTTGCATAAGCTCACGTTCATCTCAAACGTTCATCCTTCCAAGGTCCATAAAAAGACTACCATTAAGTTAAGCAATAATAACATCTAGACCCAATGATGTACTTGAAAACTGGCAACAAGCTAAATGTTCCTTCCCTGGTTAAATTTGTATACCAATATTATTACTGTGCATACTTATATCTAAGGCCAAGACTAGTATTAGCAACCTGTTTACTTACTAGTAGACTGGAACAGAAAATGTACCTATGCCATAAACAGACAAGTTACCACTGACTTTAATGAGGACATTATTGTTTATATAACAAATACCTGCAGTGAGCTTAGCAGCTATTAACTTGAACAGAAACCTCCATTGAGTGCATTGGCACATTATAGGCATAATGCAACCGCCCTACTCTTCCACCCTGACTACTGCAATATGCTGCTCACTAGTCTTACACATTCCCAACTCACCTCTCTACAGTTTATAATGAATGCTGCGGCCAGGCCCATCTGCCTGTTCACCTGCACCTCCAATGCTTGCCCTTTCTGTCAGTCCTTACATTGATTTCCTATAAAATATAGGGCTCCTTTTAAAATTCTGTGCTTCGCTTAAAAAGGTCTTCATAACATACCCCACCAAAAACTAATTTCGTCAAGAAGGAATATCAATTAAACTCTTAAAAGCTTTCCTTCCTCGCACCTCACTAACCCACCTTGTTTCCTCTCCTGCAACGTTGTCATCTAAATAAGTAAACCTTCACCGTAAATATTGTTCCCTGAAAGGGGACTAACTGAAATGCAAGCTACTGAGCTTCTCTAAGCATTTGCTAATTCGTATATTCTCTGTTTTTGTTGCAATGCATTTTCTTGTGATCTCCCTAAACAAAAAGGGTGATCCAGATGTGAACTCTGCTCACTGTGCCTGAAGGGGTATCGACTACACCTCACTGACGAGGCCTGAAGAAGCTCAAAACAATTGTCCGGAATTGCCAACTCGCAATTTGCAGTACTTAAAGGATCTGTTACTAATGACTTGATGCCAGATACTACAGAACACATGGTATCCAGGCCTCAACCCATCAGAGCTCTTTTGGCAGCACAACGGAGACCTAAATTATATTAGGCTGGTGGTTTTAATGTTGTGGCTGATCAGTATGTATCTCTCATGCAGCATTTTGCTTCTGGCCTGTCCTTATGGGTGGAATCAGTGTGATATGCAAATGAGTGAAATTCATTGTATATTCGTCCAGCAACCTATTTTTCCATACATGAAATAGCTCTGTAACAAATTAAGAGATCTCCACATGTATGGTAACGATTCTATTCCAGTGTCTGTAAAATTCTAATACAAGCACACCTCATTCTACTTAGCAAGGCATTGATTACGTGACCACCTGAATAAAATCTTTTTTAATGAGAAAAAGTATAAAACCCACTGCAGTGGTCAGCAATAGGACCTGCTGGATGGCAAAAACATTGCTAGTAGTACCTCCAAAGTAATTGGAATAAAAAATGTTTTTATATCTATTGACCATGCCAAAAGAGTTGAAAATAAAGGTTTTAAATAAGGAAAAGAAGGGTTGAATTATGCCTTTACTGGCAGATAGATATAGCGAGCCTAAGGTTGCTTCCATCCCTAAAAACAAAGAAGGCAGTTCATAAGAACACGGTCAAGGAGCAGACATTGGGGACAACAAAACTACAGACTGACAGAGTGTGCAAACTACTATCCACTGACCAGGATGACCGACAATTTTTTTTAAATGTCATGCAACAACCATAGAATGTCATTAAATGACCGACAATAAAGAACATCAAATGGAGGCTACACTGAATAGCACTACGAGAATGGTTCAAAATAGGCTCCTAGGGGCCTAAAGTAATGCAAAGCCAGAAAAAAACACTTTCATCAAGAAGCAAAGATGAGTCAGGCTTGTGTTTGCAAAAGATGGCCTTACTCTAGTCCGTAGAGGACTGGAGTAAGGCCATCTTCGGTGAGTCCAATTTCCAGCTTTCCCCAACACCTGGTCATCAAAAAATTACATAGGGAACTTGAGAGGCCTACAAGCTGCAGTTTCTTATACACATTGTGACTGATGATCTGGGAGTGCTTTAGCAAGGCTAGAATTGGGCAGATACATTTTTGTGAAGGAAACACACGAATGAAGCCACTTACAATGTTATCTAGGTAGAAAAAAAACATTCTTTCTTCTGCTCTGACAATGTTCCCCAACTCTGAGGATCGGTTTTCCCAGCATATCAATGCATGCCACACAGTCAGGTCAATCAAAGTATGGAGGACCACAGATCAAAACCCTGCCATTGCCAGCAGATACCCAGCCCTGATCCACATTGACAACCTGTCATCAAGAGGACAATGGAAGGTCATCAAATAAAGTGGAGCTGCTTGACTTTTTACACCAATAGTGGAATAAAGTCACCCAACAATGTAAAAAACAGGTGGAGAGCATGCCAAGATGCATGAAAGCTGTGATTGAAAAACACTGTTATTTTTTGCAAATAAATGCTGAAATCAAAATATTTTTATCTGGGATAAAGGTTGTCGTTATTTATAGAATAAAACAAAAAAAAAGTTTTACCAAAACACATACCTATTAAAAATAAAACCAAGGAAACTGATAGGTTTGCAGGTTCTCTTATTTTTCCAGAGCTGCTCCTATCTCTTGCAACTACTTGTTAGTCAGTCAACCAATTTTACAGCGCTGTGGAATTTGTTAGTACTTCATAAATAACAAAATTGTAATTTCTTCTCTTTGCTCTTTATCCTGCTTTTCTAAATTGAGCGTACTGCATCTTCATTCACAAGAATGTATAGTGCCATCTTAACAGCATTATGGGCCCTAGACAAAGCAGTGCACTGGGATCCTGCCTACACAACCTTTAAAAATGTAAATTATTGATAACATTAAGCTTATATTTATGCTCTGCTCCAGTCCTCCCGCCCCACCACCTGCTCCCTAGATCCAATTCCCTCGCATCTCATCCGTACTCTGTCTTCTTCTCTTTCTCCACCTCTCACTAAAATTCTCAATCTCTCTCTCCTCTGGTATATTTCCATTGCCCTTCAAACATGCAACTGTAACCCCAATTCTAAAGAAGCCCAATCTTGACCCTAACTCCCCATCCAACTATCGTCCTATCTCGCTACTGCCTTTTGCATCCAAGATCCTTGAAAAGATTGTGTATGCGAGATTGACATACTTCCTCGAGTCCAACTCTCTGCTAGACCCGCTTCAGTCTGGTTTCTGCGCTAAGCACTCTGTGTAAACGGCACTGACCAAAGTATCCAATGATCTACTCGCTGCAAAATCTCATGGTCATTACTCTATCCTAATTCTCCTTGACCTGTCTGCGGCTTTTGACACTGTTGATCATCAACAGCTTCTTCTCATCCTCCGCAATATCGGTCTACAAGATATTGCTCTCTCCTGGTGCTCCTCGTAACCCTCTCCCAGCGCTCTTTCAGTGTTTTTTCTCTGGCTCTGCTTCTTCCCCCCAACTCCTCTCTGTTGGTGTCCCCCAAGGTTCAGTCGTTGGTCCCCTAGTGTTCTCCATCTATACTGCCTCCCTTGGTAAACTCATTAATCCATTGAATGCTTTCCTATGTGACCGGCTGAATGCGCGCGCGCTCTTGCCACGCGTGCGCATTCAGCCGACGGGGAGGAGAGAAGGAGGATCGGAGGAGGAGAGCTCCCCGCCCAGCGCTGGAAAAAGGTAAGTTTAAACCCCTTTCCCCTTTCCAGATCCGGGCGGGAGGAGGACCCTGAGGGTGGGGGCACCCTCAGGGCACTATAGTGCCAGGAAAACTAGTATGTTTTCCTGGCACTATAGTGGTCCTTTAAACTGTTAATTCCACTGATTCCACTTATGCAACTGTCACTAGTCTAATACTATCCTTACCTTTTTGCGTCATTTTACCCCACTCCCTCTAGCATGTAAGCTCATTGAGCAGGGCCCTCAACCCCTCTGTTCCTGTGTGTCCAACTTGTCTGGTTACAACTACATGTCTGTTCGTTCACCCATTGTAAAGCGCTGCGGAATTTGACGGCGCTCTATAAATATCATAATAATAATAATAATAATTAGTTTTTTGCTGTTGATCCAAAAGAAGGCACAAAAACACTTCCAATTTTGCAATAAACTAGGAAAAAATCCCCTCTTGACCCCAGAATGGCAGTCAGATTTGTCCTTGGATCAAGAAGCTATTACCCTACAGTTGAAAAATTATATAATTGTGTAACGGAACTGCTGGCACCTCGACTCGGTACCTTCCGCTGACGGATGCTCCAAGTGCTTTCCGAGGGCTCCAAGCACTCCACCTGACACCATAACCCCGCCGCAGCTTGGTTGGGGTCTCGCCGTCTCCACCCACTCTGGACCCAAGACCAGGGTCCAGCTTCCAGTAGGTCGACCTCTCCGAATTCCAAAGAGCAGGAACAGGAACAAGCTCTTAGCAGAGCCTAGTGATTATACCCTGGGAAGTATAGTGATTATAGCAATCCCCAGAGTGTAGTTCTCCAATCCCCCAAACATGAGCCTAAACTTCATGAAGGTACAAGATGATCTGATCTGTTTAATCAGCACCAAAGGGCTTTCTTTTATGCAAGTTTTTACACACAGTTACCATCCACATGGTTTTGTGGAACAGCCAATCAAACACACTCCCAGTTAGGGCAGTGATATAATTACTGTAAACAATGGGTTAACTTAATTATCACAGGCAGGAAAATATACAGTTTCATACAATATTCATAACTTCCAAACCATACATGCAATTCTTATAGTTACATATTCTGAATCAGCATACTCCATATACAAACATATGTCATAATCATACCATTCCCTCCAGTGGTTTAAAAGTTAGGTGGAAGTCCCACAGTCAAATCGCCATGGGGTTAAAGTTTAGCAAGGGCTGATGAGAGACTGAGGAGGGACAAAGCACCCAGTTCCAACTGGTCTGGCAGTGTCCCTGGGACAACGCCCTGCAGGAGAACAATGGGACAGGAAACAGGGGACGGGAAGAGCACACCTTCCCATGGATTCAAAGGGGGCAGAAAAAGTGTCCCAAAATCCAATAAGCCCAAACAGACTTTTTAAATGGCAATACTTCCCAGGGGCCATAGTCACAAGGCAAGAGGCTGACAAGCAGGCCTCTCCAAAAGCCAGGGGTAAAGGGCAGTTTGTCACAAATTCTATTTTTGCAAGTATGGAATTAGTTGCTGTTTGAATATCTGTACGGACTCTGATAAAACCACTTTTTCAAGCAGAGAAATCCACATCCTTTTTGTTCTTATGGTAAAAAAAAAACATTTCTTTGCCTTAGATCAAGCATCTCAGACTCAAAGTGTGGCACGGGCCAAATAAACAAGGTTTAAGTTTATGTGGGCTGCACACACACACACACACACATACTCACTGACAGACAGACAGACACACACATACTCACAGACAGACAGACACACACACTGACAGACACACACACACACACACTGACAGACACACACACATACAGACACACTGAAAGACACACACACACACACACATACTCACAGACAGACACATACACATACTCACAGACAGACAGACACAGACAAACTGACAGACACACACATACAGACACACTGACAGACATACACACACACTGACAGACACACACATACTCACACATACTTGCTGACAGACACACACACAGAGACACACACATACACTCACAGACAGACAGACACACACACACATACTGACACACAAATACTCACTGACAGACACACATACTCACTGACAGACACACACATACTTGCTGACAGACAGACACACACACAGAAACACACACTCACTGACTGACAGACAAACACACACACACTGACAGACACACACACATACTCACTGACAGACAGACACACACACTGAGACAGACAGACACACAAACTCACACACTTACACACACATACTTTACTGCTCCTGACCTTATGGAGCCGATGGGGGCATCTCCCTGGGGTCCTTCATGCTCCTCGCTGCTCCCTCGCGTCGTTTAGTGATGCCGGGTGCCGGAATATGACGTCATATTCCGGCACCCAGCTTCACTTCAGACAGTGCGCGCAAGGGAGCAGTGAGGAGCAGGAACACTGAGCTACCTCGTGGCCTTCACCCCCTGGCCGGGTAAGTGTTAGCAGAGTAGTCACTTGCAATGTGGGGAAAGCAGGTGCCTACTCTGCTATAACACTTAGCATGCACTCGCGGCTCGACGGGCCACAAAGATTGTCCTTGTGGGCCGCATGTTTGACATGCGTGCCTTAGACTAAAGCTTCTTTCTTTCAGTCTAAATGCATGACCTTGTGTCCTATGTAATGTCCAGTTTGTGAATAGATTTCTACACAATAGTTTGTATTGGCCCTGGATGTATTTGTATAATGTTATCATATCCCCTCTGAGGTGACGTTTTTCTAAACTAAAGAGGTTTATATATTTTAATCTTTCTTCATAGCTAAAATGTTCCATTCCTTTTATTAATTTTGTAGCCCGCCTCTGCACTTTATCTAGTGCCATAATATACTTCTGTAGAACAGGTGCCCAAAATTGCACAGCATATACAAGATCTGGTCTTACCATACTGCTGAATACACACAGGCTGCTCAATACACACACGCAGAGAAAGTCCAGTAATACATTTTACCTTATTTAATCCTTTTTGATTTCTGGTCAGTTTTTACTATTCACTATGATTATTATGATTCCAAAGTGCCAAAAAGTAAAAAGGCTGGTGAACATTGTATGGATATTTATAGAAAACTAGAATGTGAAGGCAG